GGGGGGGGGGGGGGGGGAGGAACACACACACACAAAAACATATACATCTCTCAAAATATGAAGATGTTCCCAACCCTCAGGCTCCTCGCCGAAAAAGGAGATAAGAGTTGAGAATCTCGGTATTCATCTATATTTCAATTTTATCAAAAGCACGAAAGTCAGTCTTGTTCAAGAATGGTGATTCTTTTCCTTCATGTATTCTTCATTATTGTTTGATATTATTTGAGCAAACATCTATTTCTTACACTGTGAGATTCAATCGTAACTGTAATCAAATTCTGTGTTTAGTTATGCTTGTTTATTCCTATCTTCTATCTCAGATCTAGAATAAATTATCTCTGGCTAGGATTTACCCCAAATCTTTTTATTCAATTAGTTTAACAAAAGACCAAGTGTAAGCACATGATTTTTGCCCTATATGAGAAATAGTCCCAAAAAATACAAAATGAAATGATTTTCCTTGGTGTGCAATTTTGAGTATTTTTGTGATATTTTTGGATAATTATTTGTATTTGTTTGTGTTTGCTTATTTGTTAAATTAATAAAAAATATAAAAATATGTCTCATTTTGCATGTAGGATTTAATTCTACAATTGTTAGTAATTAAATTAGTTTTACAAAAATTAAAAATTACAAAAATAGACACCTTTTGCATTTTTAGCATTTAATGTCCAAATATACAATTTTATGCTTAATTATTACTTAATTGTGCGTTAATTGTTATTGGGAGTTAATTTGCGCTTTTATAACTTAATTTAGTTCTTAATAATAATTTAAGTACTTTTATAATTTAGTTTTAGAAAATAAAAGAAGAAAAGATAACAAAAATACAAATAAAAATCGGATTGGGCCACTTCTTCAATTTTCAACCCCAGGCCCAAACAATTGTCCACGACCCAGTCCACTTCACACGGGTCGACCCGGTCCGCCCCATTAACCCATTAAACCAAGACCCACTCTTCATTTTGTCCTAACACAAAACAAAACAAAAAACCCTAAAAACCCTAAAGTAAACTATCCGCCCCCTCCCTTACTTTCATCTTCTCCAAACTCCAAAAACACCCCATCCATGGCTGCCCAAACCAGCTTCCTTCTGCTACATCCATACCCAGCTGCCTCGCGTCTTCATCTTCTTCCTCACCTCCAAATGACCCTTCCAATCACCGGAAAAAAAACTAGCCTCCTCCTCACGTCCGCCATTGACGAGCAACCATCGCTGCTACGTCAACCCGCCACTGCTTCTGCGTCGTCAACCACGAACAACTCTAAAGCCACCGCCATTCTTCTCCACTGTTGGCACGCGTAACTCGTTTCGTCGCAAACACAAGAAAGATATGAATCTTGTGGTTCGTTCCGTCGCGCAACATTCCGTCGCACGAGCAAAGCTGGCAAGGCTGTGAGTTCCGTCATGGTGTTGCTATGAATCCTGTGTTGGTGGTAACCACCAACATATCAGTCATGCCAGCACTGTCCGCCATGAGGCACCACCGGGACGGACGATTGGTTTTTTTTATTGCTGCAAAGAGAGCTGGTCGCTTCCATGGCCGAGCTGCTGTCGCGGTGCTGCTTCCCGTTCCACCTTCTTCTTCATTTCCGGCTGCTGCTACTTCTATTTTCGACCTCAACGTCCAGCTGCTGCCTCACGAACAACCATGGCCAGTCTCCATCGTTGCTTCTTCTGCATTCATTTTCCTCGCAAACGAATTAACTGCTTTCGTTCATCACTTCTGCCATCGTTTGGTCGAGTTTTAGTCGAGTTCGTCAAGCGTAGTTTTGAGTTCGTCAAGTTTACAAGGAAGTTGAGTTCGTCGTTGAGTCCGGACAGATTTATTCCCATTTGAGTTTTGTCAAAACAGTTCATACATATGTCGTGTTGATCCGGTTAGTAGTTTTTGAATTTTATGTTTGTCCGTATTTTGTTTTGATATTTTCGAATCTAAAATCGGCAAATGTTTGTTTTGTTTATCGTTTGAATTAATTTTT